GTGAAGGAATCCGCATAGAGATCCAGAGGAAAACCAACCCGAGAGGAAGGGGGGCGAAGGTACTCCGGGGAACAGGGAGAAGCGGAGGTGCCCACGGGGAGCCCCGCGGGGGAGAAACGCGCTCCCGGAAGGCTCTCGGGAGACGGCTACCAGAAACCTCCCCCACGGGCTGGGGGTCCCGAGACGTCCAACCGCCCTCCGGAAACTCAGAGCGGGGCAGAGAGGGCTGCGAGAAAGCGAGGGGTGCCTTGGGGGCCTAAACCCGGGAGGCCGAGAGGCATGGGTGGGCTGCGAGGCCGGAGACCCTGACGGCCCCACAGCAAGTGCGGGAAGGGAGCCTGGAAGACGCCCCGGACGAGCAAGCTTGGGAAGGGGCGGGAGGGGACGAGTGGGGACAGCGCGTGGGGAGGGCGGGCGGGCGGGCCTCACGAGCACCGGACGCGAGGGGCACCTGGCCGTCCCGGGGGCCCGACAGGGCAAAGGCGCCAAGTGGAGGCAGAGCCCGTCCAGATGCCGGCCACCCGCTCCAGAGTCACCGCCCGGCCGCGCGGCGCGTGCGCACCACGGCTCCGGCGGCGCGGGACGGGACGGGGGCGGGAGGGCTAGGGGGACGCGGCGCCGGGCCCGCGCGTCGCCGGGGCAACGCCATCCTCCCCCTGGAACCGCCGGGTCAATGGGGGTTGAGAGAAGGGGCGCTCCGGGCCCAGGAATTCCGAGGGCGGGGGGCGGGGAGCCTGGCCGATGGCGCAAGCGCGACGGCGCGCAGGCGCACTGGCCGCCTGCGCCCGCCACACCCTGTCGTCGCTCGCGCGCGGCGTCCGTTGGTGCGACGGCCCGCCAGGCCTCGGGACCCGCTGGGCGTCGGGCCGGAAGGAGACGCCGTGCTCGCCCGCTCGCCCGCCCGCCCGCCGCTCCCCACACCCACCTCAGCCTTTCGCCCCCCCGGACTCGTCAGCGGCAGCCCAAGGGGACAGCGACACGGCCACGGAACTGCTCGAGACCCGGCTGGTTCTTGTCTTCCTTGGGCTTCGACGTTCTGACCGCGGCGTCCTGACGTCACGCGGAGGCCTCGCCCCACCTCCCTCGGCCCTGCGCCACCAATGGGCGCCGCGGGCTTGATTTGAGCCCGCCCTCCGCTTACGCAAGGGCGCGTGGGCGTAGAAGGCAAGCCGGAAGCCAGGGGTGGGGACGGTGGCCCCGAGGGGACATGCGCGGCTGCAGAGTCGGTCGGCACTGTGCCCGCGCAAGCATTCCTATTTTGGCTCCGTGAGTGGTAACCATTGTTGTTCCCAAATACAAGCTAGCGTGAGGTGGGTTCTAAGATTGCCTCCGCGCAGCGATGTGGAAGCCCAGGCCGGAGAATGATGAAGCCGGACAAAGGGGTTGAGAACAGCCCTCAGCCGGCTACATAAAATTGCAGAGGCGCCCCTGGTCGAGGACGCGGCGCGTGCAAACACGCGGAGGCGGGCGGCGAGCAGAGCCTGCGGACCTGGGGATCACAGGGAGGCCATGGGGGGAGCAGATGGCTGCGGCGGAGTCCGGGGCTGAGCGGGTAGGTGTGTGCTGGTGGGCAGGCGGGCCGGCGGGGACCGGGGCTGAGCGGATGGGTGTGTGCAGGTGAGCAGGCAGGGACCGGGGC